TTATCACGCATACGGTCATAAAGCATACATATACAAGCATACCTATATAATATAATATTATGTTGAATATAGATAGGATAGATACTAGATACCTATATATATATATATATATATATATATATATATATAGAGAGAGAGAGAGACATATAGTAATATAAAATATTAATACATTACTAAACATAGACTAGGGGCTATATGACGAGAAAATTATATCATGCTAACACAAGAGTGTATCTAAGATTTTAACCAGGAAAGGACAATTTATAACCTTTTTTTTTGCTTTTTCGATTTTATAGTAAAACTTATACGTTTGGTATAAAAAAAAAAAATTAGTGTGAAGCCTCTCTTGCCCTACCCTCGCTACGCCCATGTGCTGACATCTAAAAAATAATAGTAAGCAAATAGGTATTTGATGAAAATGTCAAGTATAAGGTTATTCATTTTCAAATTTCATTATCAATTATAACAAAACCACTTAGTCAGTTTTTAAAAAACTAGTATTACGTAAATATTCTCAATTTTCCTTAACGTTTTTTAGTTTTTTCCAATCATTTTCTTCTTTTGACCCTTCTAAGTAACAATGACTAAGTACCAACTAGATCCAAATTTCCAAGTATCAAAAAATCCAGAAACTACCTTTAAAATTTTGAAATTGGAAAAATCATTTATTCTGCTAAAAAAGATTATAAATGTTTGTGAATGGTATAAAAATCGCATTATTTTCTAATTAATAAATTTATGATCATAATACTCATAGTTTATAATAAAATATTAAATGTAGATAAATCTTAAATAACCTATTCTTATTTATAATTTTATAAATTTCCTACATTATCCATACTAGGTATCATAAAACAATAATGTATAAAATATCAATATATCTATTTACCTGTACCTAGTATGAATACGAGTAAATTATAATACACTAGCCGACCCGTCACAGCTTCGCCCGTTATTGGTTATTTATTTTGCCTTTGGACGATGATATATAGAATTTTTTTTTCAAATTTTATCGTTTAATGTGACTGACAAGTAAATATAAAAAATGTTTAATGAAAACGTATTGGAATGTTTCTAGCAGTATAAATGGTAGAACGTAAAAATATATATTTTTAGTCACAAAAAGCGTTTCATACAGTCAAGCAATAATTGATGATGTTTTTAGAATAGATATAATATAATATTTATTATATTTGATAATGTACGTTTTTTCATAAATTTACGAGTACGATAGTTCAACGTTAAAATATGAACACTGTGGGTACCGCTTAGGTACCTACTATACCACTACCTGTACTTCCAAGTGTCAAGTGGGTCACCGCAATGGATATATTATTATATTATTATTATTATTGATATATATATTATTATTTTTTTTTTTTTTGTAAATAGTTAAATTTTAATTAAATTATATTATATTTATATAATTGTATATAAAAACGATTCTGAGTAGAGATTATCTCATTTATCTGTCAGACGTTAGTTAATATTACCAACTGCACTGATAACTATATATTTCATGAAATGTTTTTTGATAAAGTTTTTAAAGAAATTTATTTTACAAATTATATTATGGTGGTGAATATGATTTTTGTCAAAAATATTGCATATATTATTATATTAGAGGTATTTAATTAGTATAATAATATACATTTATACTAAAATTTTTATTTTTTATTTTTAGCTTCCAATATCTAAATTAATACAACTCAACGATTTACTAGATGATATTATTATTAACTTTCGAGTTAATAATAGGTAGGTACGCCTTTACTATAAATACCGTAAACCAGTGTAAATAAATTTAAATTATTAATAGATATCTTAAAATAAATCTACATATTTTGGAAAATATCATTACATTCAATAAAATTCATAATACATATACGTAAGAATTTTAAATCCCAACAAATATGTTTTTAAATTATAATCAAATAAATAACATCATTGTTACTCATCATTAAAATATGTAATTTTATCAAAATATCAAATTCAAATGATTATAAAAAATGAATATGATCTTCCTGTAAACTTTTAATTTTTACTATATAGATAAAAAAAAAAATAGGGAGAAATCTTGCATTTATTTTAAAACTTGAAATACAAAAAATAATTTTTTTTATGAATTTCTAACTAAAAAATAATTTATAAATTCATGATTTTGATGAATTTTCACAGAGTTATAACTATATGTCCATGTCAAAAAGATATCGTAATCTTGTCAATGTTTGATATTTTATAATTAATATAAAAAACAGCTTCTATTATAATTTCAAACTTTTTTACCAAGAAACAATTTTTTATTGACATTTATAGAAAGAAAAAAATGAAAATTTCACATGTCTATATAAATAGCTTAAAAAAGTCCAAATATATTGAAAATCATTTCATATGTAGGAAACGTTTACATTAACATTCTATAGAAATTTCAAATATCTAAGATTATTCGTTTTTATGTTACACTAACAAAACAAATTTTATTTTATTATCGAGGATAGGTTTTTTTGTAAAAAATTCCATTTTTCGTAAATTATTTGTGTTTTCTCTCAATTATTTTGAAAAATACTGGGAATTTCTAATATTGACTTTTCTAATGTAGAAACTAGATCTAATTTTACTATCCAAAACTACACTTCAAGTCAGTAAGTGAATCATTGTATGAAGTTATCGTGTAAATACACATTAAAAAACACACATTGTAAAATCAATATATTCATAGTTTCGCTCAAAATCTAAAATTATAAGGATTTTCATTTCTAATTTAACTTCATAAAAACTATGTTGAATATTAGAAAGTATTTAATTAAGTGACCGCTAAACTTTCATATAAGTTGTATCACTTATATCAATATTACAAATACATAACATAGCTAATTGTACGTTTTGAAAAATCTATTTATTAACTTTTTTATACTTGATATTACAGTAAGTTACATATCTACTTGTATTATCAAATTTAAAATTGAGAATATTTTTTAGCTAATGTCTTAGGTTTTTTTTTTATATTTTAATTTTAAAAACACGTTATGAACATTTTAAAATTTAAAATTGTTAAAAAAAATATTCTAATTTTTAAATTATTAAAAAATATTTATTTTTATTAAAATAAAAATATATTAAAAAATTATTTATACTTTCCTCTTCTTTAAGCACGGTCGTACGTATCTCGCACCGCATCAACTTATGGTCATTATCACTAAGTACTTTACTTCGTGTCGAATTTTTGGTCACGAATCAATTAAGGACATAAGACGTGTCAGTTCAGTGGTATCATGAAATAAAACTGTATTTCAATTGATATTGATTCAAAAATACATAAGATAATTTGAAAGAGCACCGTATTTGTTTCATGATTTATGCTTACCTACTTAGAATAATCAGAATCCGATACTATAACAACATTTTAGGTGATCGATAGATTGTCTAAGTAAGAGGTTATTAAAAATTTTTTTGGGCTCAACGCCCTTTTTAAACTAAGGTTTTCTCAGGGAGCCCTCCCCCAAGTTACAACATGATTAATCATACGAAATATTTAAAAAATAAATAGAAACCAGAAAAAATTGTAATGAGTAATACGAAAATATTTTTTTTATTGTAATTATAGATAATTAAAATTTTTTTTTTAGTTATTAAAAACATTTGTTAATAGATACCTATTAAATTAATGGGATAGATGAGCTTGAATATCACTGTACATTTTTTCAAATCTTGAAATTAAACTGGACACAACTATTCTAATTTCCTTTTCTATATTAATTTCTGTATTCTGTTTTATCACACAGATAAGTCGAAAATTGAATTGAAGTTCATTGAGCCCTATCACCAAAAAGGGGATATTCATAATTCATCTTTTATTGAGATCTAAAATTTGGTCATTTCTATATTACCAAATTTAATTTTCAAACTATTGCTATTAGACAACTCGATAGACTACGATAACACTTTAATTTTCAGAAGAAGTAAATTCAGATGGAGTGATAGAGTTAAATGGATCTTGAATCTATGTAAATTTATCAACGTTTACATTTTGAAAAAATCTTAAACCAAATGACAAGTTGTGACGAGTGATTTAAAAAATGGATTTCATATTTTTAGAAATTTAAACTTTGTTAAAAGTCAATAACTGCTGCAATATGGAGAAAGAATCCTTGCTCGTGTCTTCACTCATTTTTCTTCTCTGTAGTTAGTTTTTTTTCTAAAAGCTGACATTTTTTCCATAATTTTTTCTTGCAAAGGGGTATTCAATGCATTTAGCATTTATTATATATAACTTATCAAAAATGTTGCAGAAATATACTAATTTAATTAAAAATCCTTTTTCGGAAAATGCGTTGATATTTTTATGCTCTTTTTCAGTTCTTTAATAAGAAAAACATAAATTTCCTGTCGTGGTTTAAACTTACGAGATAAAACTCGGTTCCTATATTTTCATTTAGTTTCAAATAAGTGCCTGTAATCCGTTATCTACTAATCTATAATAGCGACACATAGAATGAGCGCCGTCAATACATACACCAATACATAAAGGTCTAAGTCCAAAACTTCAATCCAAAATACAAGACATGATATTACCAAGCATCTCGAATAAGTCTTAAGCTTTGGTATGGTACTTACTATAAAATTGTTACGAAGAGCTAGGAAAGAATTTTAGATTTCAATACATGGCAACACTAATTCAAGAGTTAGATAGTAACATATATAACATATATAATCGATTTTTAATTCTCTTATAATCACTTATCACTTATCAGTAATCAGTTCACGATTCCTCGGTGCACTCAACACTCAATATTTTCGTATAAGTATTCATTATTCTAAATTTAGTAAATTTTTGATTTTTGATATTTAAATCTAAATTAGTGGTTTCATTTTTATTAATATATTAATTCAATCGTGTACTTTGCATATTCCATTGATGTATCTACTGTTCATTGACTTTCTTCTTGCAAATTTTCGTAACTTGTTGTATACATATTAATGTAATATTAAATTATATTATATATTTATATCATTAAATAATACTTAATTATTTAAAAGTAAGTTTATTTAAAATTTGATTTTATATGTATAGGTATTTATTATACTAGCAGTAAAACTATTCATTAATCATACTATTTCTTAAGTATATACAGTGAAACAAAAAACTAAACATTTTTTTAAACTATTCATGTGATAATTTATTTTTAAATCAATAATTTTAATTTATTTACTATTCTTTTATTTTAAATTAAAATATGTGTTGAGGTGTATATAAATAAATTATGTGTCTACTTTAAAAATGAAAAGTTTAAATGGAGCTAAAAATTTTGTTTAGCGTATACAGAATCTTATTCAGCCTATACCACTTTTTTACACTACCATTTACATTTGTATCTAATTACAAATTAATATTTTTACAAAAAAAAATAATTAAAACTACTATTATGAGAATAAAAATGTGAGAAACAAGAAATTTTAAAATTGAAATACTCAAGTTTGTATAAGTTATTTTTGTACCTGAAAATTAGGGTTATGTTTTTAATATACATTAAAATTTCAAAATAATGCACTTAGAAATATAATGAATGTGGTAAAATTATATTTAACATTTTTAAATCTCCATTAAAATCAAAATTTTTAGCATATACAATAGCATTGTTTTTTTAACACATTAAATGTCACATGACCACCGGGGACCATAAATGAATTTAGTTTTATATTATTAATGTTTCTATGTCGCTACAATAATGCACCAAAAAATAAGAACTATGGCATAGCAGAAATTATTACAATTTTTTTTGATATAGGTGCCTATAATATATTATTTTTTTTCAATTTTTTTTAAATATTTAGTGTATACAAATTTGAAAAACATTGAAAAATATGTTTGGCATATAACAAATATTTATTGAATGACCGTCGACAGTTATATAGCGGTTAACGCGTTAAAAAGAAAAAAATTAAATAAGCTCGGTGTTTTTCAAAGCCTAATTTAAAGCAATCTTTATAATATTATGACAAGCTTTACTTGCTCTAAAGATCCTGAAAAAAAGTTCAATGTTTCAAACTTACAATGATTCTTATTATTTATATTTTAATAAATCAGGTAGGTTAAATTAATCCCATTTATAATTGCTTACTTTGATATATTGCTTATGTTTAAATTTAGTATTCTTTATTGAATAGAAAATTTAAATTGTTTATCATTAATATTTCTGAAGGTATTTATTATAAATCAAATTATGTACCATGATAATCTATGTATATTTTTTCAAAATTCTACACTTTTGTATTGAATTTACAAAAAATAAAATATAGGTGAAATACAAACTCATCACAAAATATTGTGGACTTTTTACTTAAATAAATATTAAATTATTCAGTCTATTTTAAAAATTTAAATTTTGTATGATTTATATTGATTTATTTTTTTTTCAGAAATATAAGCTCAGCTGAAATGGCTTCATATATGTTTCAAAAAACTATAACATCAATTTGTACATGTGGCTTACAGAAACTTTTACCTGATCTGTTTTTCTGTCGTCATTGTCTAACGCTTCGTTGTGATTTCTGTGTAAGCCATGAAATTGACACAACTTACTGTCCTCATTGTTTTGAGAATTTGTCTTCAACTGAAGCCAAACATAAAAAAAACCGATGTGCTTCTTGTCTAGAGTGTCCACGATGTTTTAATACTCTTTCAACACGTTCATATTCTCGAACACCTGAACCAAAAAAACCACCTCAAAAAATGTATTATTTACTCTGTTTATTTTGTAATTGGCGATCTCATGAGCCAAGTATACCTGATCAACCAACATCATCAGGAAACTGGCCAATTCATAAAAATCCAGAAGATGGTCGTATTCTGGATCTGATCAATTATTATAAATCTGTTTCTTTAAAAGAAGTGTTTGATAAACAGAAAAGGAATACCAAACATTATGGTCGTAATTATGTGCATTTCTTGGAAAAATTTGGTTTAAATGCAATGATGGCACGAAAACGTGCAGGATTACCAAATTTCCACTCAGATGGTACTGGTTTTATTACTTCAGAAATAACTCCAGCTGAAGCTATTGAAAATGTTCCTGAATTATCTGAAAACATATTTGTAGATATTTTAGATTTGAAACAAATTTCAACTTTAGAACAACGTTTTGCAACTCCTGAACTTCAAGTAGAAAATACAGATGAACTTTTTCCAGTTCGTAAACATCTTCGAGTTAAGCATTCTTTACGTTGTCGCGTATGTGAACATAATGTTGTTAAACCAGAATATAATGCTGTAAAGTTTAAAATTAAGCACTTAGCTTATTATCATGTTCCAGAGATAAAAATAATCAAATGTGAACCATTACTAGCTGGTAAATGGAGTTCTTTGGTACTTAAGTTATGTAATCCAGCACAAATATCTACTGCTGTGCGTTTTGAAAAATTAGATTTAAATGCTATAAACACAGTAAGAGAGCCAAGGCGATTGGAAGGAGAAGATTTAATAGTTACTCCTAAACAATTGCCAGAACCAATTCCTATTGTATTAAAATTACAGGGTGATATTATGGTTCCTGAAGGTGAAATTAAAATTGCAGCTAGAGATGATACAGCTGAATATGATGATACAAACGAAGTAAATACAGACAATGATGATCCAAAATATGTGTATTGGAGAAAGGGTAACAAAGTTGCATTAAAATTTGAAGTAAAGCCTAATGAAAATTTTAAAAAGAATGAAAATTTACAATTAGGATTTGTTATGCATTTTATGTATATGGATACAATGCTACATGTAATTAATCAAAAACAACCTCAAACTGTATTAGTGCCTATAAACATTTTACTGAATTTACCTAATTCTTTTTAATTTTTAATTTAATTTAAAATACATATAATTAATTACATTTGATATTAAAAATATTATTTTTTTCTGAGGTATAGTTATATAATTATAAATAATGAATATGAAATCAATTTTTAGCCATTGTTCTACTTTTATTAAAATAATAATAATAATAATGTATTTGCTATTTTAAGTGTATTAATCAAATAAAATAATAAATTAAAGAAGTGAGTTAAAAATATATACATATTATTATTAGTTAACATTATTTTTATTGTATGTTTACCTTTTTATATTCAATCTAGAAAATATTTAGTTACTCATTTATTAATTTATTGTACTATGCCAAGAAATATATTTTCAATTTTTCTAAAATTATGAATAATTTTTATAATTATTCATAGATTATCAGATCTATTAAATTATAAGTATAATTTAATAACTTATTACAAGTATTCATATTTTATATAATAACACATTAAATATTGGACTATTGTCCAAATTTTTTGATTTGTTATGTATTTATAAAATATAAAGTACATTTTACATTCTTTATTTAAGAATTAATTATAAAACAGTAATATAACATTCATTAATTACAACATTAGTATTTCTTACATTAAATACTATACATTTATATGCTATATTTTAAATATTAATTATTTTGCAATTATATAATTAATTTAATTTTTTAATTTTAATGTATATTTTAAAAAGTGTATTGCACCAATATTCAATGTATATGTTTAATTAAAATTAAATCATATTAAATCTATGTATTTTTATACATTTTATATTTTTTAAGCTTTATCTAATAGTTATTTAAATTTATTGTTATTATTAATTTGTTAAATACAATAAGTATTATGTTTATAAATAAATTCATAAAGTAAGTAATTGTAGTAAGACAAAATAACTATAATATGTAATGTGTTCCAATACTTTTGAAAAGTTATACTATTATTTTTAACATATTATATCATTGAATCTATTTTTATTAAATCTAACCATAGAATTATTATACAATATATGCATGAGCAGTTTAAAACAAAAGGTGGCATTAAGGGTTCAACTCCCCCTTGAAAATCCCAAGAAAATTTTAAAATATAAATAGTATAATTTGATATTTGATATAGTAAAAGTTGTTTCTCTCATTGGATATTTAAAGGTGTATAGGTAATATAACAGTTTAATCGATTTATCCTTAAATCCGCAAATAATTTTTGTAATTTGTTATTATCAAAAACACATTGTTCGTTGAAATTTGAAACATTCTTTTTTATTTAAATTATCATTTTATATACTTAATTGAATTTTAAAAATATTTAAACCTTTTTTAATTTAATTATAAGCATTTGAATTTTTTTTTGTTTTTTTAAAGTCTTATAGGAATAAAAAAAAAATGTTTAGGCTTACTTAAAAAGATTGAAAATTTATTACAATATTTCATATATTGACTGTTACTATTAATGATCAGATACTAAATAATTTAATAAACTATTATAATTTTAATATAAATATATAATAAAATATACTTAATATTTAATAAATAATATTATAGAATCTTTTTTCATACGCAATGATTTTTCATTGAATTCAAATTTAATACATTTTATTATCTAATCTAGGTGACCTAATCAATTTTGTAGTACAGCAATGATACTTGACAGTTGACACCTACTGTATAGCAGAGCGTTTACTTTCTAGTTAGATTTATAAACATGATTTTTACGACTGTATTTTAATACTTATTTCATTATTTGGCCACTTATAGTTAAGATATTAAAAACATAGATATGTTTAAGACTTTAAGAGCATATTCAGCAACTGTTTAGCATGTATAAAATTTAAACTATACGAGTTCTGATTGATCACCTATCTAATTCTTAGTAATTCATTGATTATTTAATAGTAAAAGACAAAAGTTTAAATTATTGTAAGTTAAAGACTAGAGTAATTAGACTTAGCTATAAAAAGTGAAACCAGACGTCTTGATTTTTGCTATCAGTACTGAATACTGATTTTTATTTAGTGTTCAGTTATTGTTTACCTATGTCAGTAAATTGTGTGCAGTAGATTAACCAATTTTATTTAAATGATCAGTTTTATGTCCATCCATTTATAGCACAACATATTGTATTGAGTTGATTTTAATTAGTTATAGTAGTACACTAGTACCTAAGTAACTAGTGTCTATGTAGTAATGTAGTAAGTAGGTATGTATTATATGATTTAAATTTGAAGTAGACGAATGAAGTGACATAAGTGGGTTTTATTGCCACCCAGTACTGACTAATCACTAATCAGTACCTTATCATTAGGGCTCGGATTTTATAGCAAAACAAATTTTAAGAATAGTATTTTAAATAGGCAAAAAAGCATTTATTAAATTTAATTCTAAAAAAAAACAAATTTAAATTGCACATAAAATTAAATTTTAAAAATATTTGGTCAAGTAATTTTCATTAAAACTCATCCTATTGGATGCTAATAACGATTATAGAGAAATTATTTAGAACACTATACCTCACTGATTTATCGGTCAACTAAAGTATTAGAATGTGCTATAAAAATACGTAGATATAATTCAGATAATTTTAAAATTACACAATAACGATAGTTATTTTATCAGTCATTCGTTTATTATTGGTTTTTTCACCGGTTTTATAATTTCTGGCTATAATAATATAGTATTTTTAGTCTGTAACTTATAAATAAGTTAAATTTTCAAGAAAAAAAAATAAAAATTAAGAAAAAAAGCAACAAATAGGAATAAAAGTATACCTTGTTGAAATAAGAACGATTAAAAATGTATTTAAATATAATAATTATCTTTCTATTATACTCCCCTCAATAGAAGCATTTGCTACAAAATCCGAGCCCTACTAATCACCACACACGATACCTACGCCCTACAGGTATCTGGCTATATTATACCGTTTGGATTTTTTAATGAAAAAAAATTCATTGGAGATCATATTAGGATTTATTTTCAGTTTGAATAAAATAACATAAAAATATTAAAAATATTAGTTACAATGTAGGTACACATTGTAGTCATTGTTCACTAAATCAGATATCCGACTAGGTACCGCGCAGGAATGGTTTTAACGCACATATGTGTAATAATTAATAATAACAATGTTGTTATTTTAAATATGATATATGACTTTATATTATAGTAGCCGGTAGGTATTAAACCGTTCGAAGTACGGCGATATTATGTTTATTATCCTAATAATAAATATATTCGATATTTTTTGTTCCTATCTACCAACTACTAGTATTTCCTAATATTATAATGCAATAATATATTAATATAATATCTGATAAATATAGGAATTATTATACAGTAAAACATCTAAATACCGGACACTCTTTCGCAGAAATTTTGTCCGCTATTCAAAGGGTTTGGTCCGTAGTTTTTCCCCGAAAAACAGAGTCCAATATCTGCAGATGTTCTTATTTCTGAAGGGAGGTTTCACTACTATAGTAGAAATATAAATACGAATTATGCTTGTATAATTGTATATCTATTTTCCAACGACGGCCGTGGCGTCGGGCGTCTCGGTGGAAACGCGCCCTCGTAAAGTAGTACGCACAACGGCCGCGAGTGGCGGTTCAGTCGCACCGCATCGAAGGTCGCCCTTGCGCACACCCGTCAGCCATCACCCGTTCGTGAATGCGACTACGTAAGTACTGGTGTACACAAGTACACTACATCAGCGCCAGTCTTACCCCTCCGTTGTGCGTATGTGCGTTCTACTGGCGTCACTGTAATTTTAATTCGGGTTTCGGTTGTTGTTATTCCTCTCGATAAAATTAATAATAATAAAAATAATCTAATTATAATATATAAATAGCGTTAATATTGTTTTTTTTTTTTTTTTTATCAACGGTTTAAGCGTATTGCCTTTTTTTACTCGTCGCTAAAAAGTGCGTCTGTGGCTTGTGCCGGAAACTTGGCTTGTACGCGCCCAACGATGTTGTTTTGTTATCCCTTGCAATGTTATTTTAATAACATAAAAATTATATTATCACGATCGTGATAATTTCCTTAAGTTTAAATTTTTATTATCGTCGTGTGAATATATTACGAGTGCCTCTTACACGTACGGGTAATAATTTTATTTAAAGCGTATTATGTATTTCTAACGATGCGTTACGTGCTTTATTGTGGAGTCCGTTTGGAAATCTGATGGGTACTTGGGCAGCTGTAACTTAAACGAAATCCACGACAATTGGTCAAAAATTTTGATGAGTGTCAAAAGTCATGCAGGTAAGCTAATGTTAAAAATTACGAGGGAGAAAATGTTTGCTCAAATATTTATACATTTGAATATACTTTTTATTAGCTTTTGTATATTATTTCATAAATTTTCTTTAAAGAGTTATTTATTTTTTCCCAAATTATTTGAAGACAGTTTAGGTACATTACTCTTTATCATCTTTGTCAGTTCTGATATTGTTTTACACATTGTATTTATATTAACAATAGGTATTTTTATGCAATATCTTATGATTTTTTTACCTCATAAAGGTTACATTTAAACTGTCCAATATTTTTAACAATAGGTACCTATTATGATATATAAAGTTACTTATCTATATATTTTTACCAAACTTTATAATAGTAATTTATTCAATAATTTTCAAAATTTTAATTATTTATTAACTTATTTGAGATAAATCTTATTATGCATTATATCATTTACCTAGTTTATTTTTTAATTACTATAGTATGTTTAATATTTTTAATAAAATGACAAAAATCAAAATTTAATATTGTTATTTGTTTAAATTATGAGTATCCTAAGTCTAATTTTATCTTTTTACTTTAGAAAATCAAAGGGATATGTTTGGAACATCCGTCATGCGTCGGTCATACTCTACCACATCAACTGTGCAGTGATGGTAGCTGCGGTAGCATATTCGGACAAGGAAAAGCCTCCATGAATAATCTGATAAATGCCTCGCTCTGCCTTTACACACTTTATGTCGGTCATCTGATACGGCATGACGACCGAGTCAACCGACCAGCCACTGCAATCTGCTGGGCCCTTGTTCACAGACCCAAACGCCCGATATCGGTGCGAGTCTAATGATCCATCTTGTAGTCATGGCGTCGTCGCTCGACCGGCGACTGCCGTTAACATGAACCAAGTGCCGAAAGGTTACTGTTACTCGACCGATAATAATCAAATTGTTAACAGTGAGTGTGATAAAAATTATCACTGTCCTAATTCAACTGCAGTTGTCACATTGACAAATAACATTGTTTCAACCCCAGCAGCTTTTGTATCTTCAATTACTGTACCAGCAGGATGGAGACGAATTCATAATAAAGGAGTTATAAATTATATAAGGTAAATTGAACATTAAATATAATTTAAAAATACTTAGTTAACATTATTTATAAAATGGAAATTAAATATATTTGAATTATTGAAATAATACCTAACTTACCCATAAATATTAAAATATTTGAGATCAAAGTATTTGATTTAGATTGGTCAGTGAAATAAAAGTATTAAAATAATTTTTAATTTAAATTCTAATTAAAAAAAAAAAATATTTTTTTTTTTTACTTGCTAGATTAAATAGACAAGGAACTATATAGGTATATACACACATTTTTTGTTAGTAATTTATCTTCAAAACAATTTTTGTATGTGGTAAATATTTTTTACTTACTGACTACTGTAATACAAAGATATATTAAGAGCAGATAAATATTAACTTAATTTTTTTTATATGCAAATTAATCTAACTCTTAAATCCCAACTAAAAATATTATTAGGTATATAGTAAAAATTTTATTTTTATAAAATTGAAATCTGATAAAATATTTAGTCTCCTAGTTTCGGTTTAGATTAAAATAACAGTTTTAAATGTAAATAATGATTTCCTTCAATCTGAAATTATAGGATATTTAACTGTGCTGATTTTATTTAGTAATGTTAAATTAATTTTAGTACTATTTACATTTTAAAGAAACTAATGTATGTATTACTTTGTTAAAGAGTAACTTGTTAAACTGCTAGTGTAAACAAACATGGGTTTTGTAAGTGGCATGGAAAACATTTTTCATTGAACTTATGCAATAGACACTACCCATATTTTTTATTTTTTATTATCTATCTAAAACATAATTCAAAATGTTAAATTTGTATTAATGTCGAATAATTGAGTTATTTTTACTATTTTCGTACTATTTATTAAATGTTAAAATTATTTCAGTAAAACTATTTTCATTAGTTATTACGTTAAATCTTGATTTCCAATGGTTAAAACAATGATTTGAAAATGAAGGCGCTATACCACAATACGTTTCTTTAAAGTCCCCTTTTTAACCTCTATTATCCTCTTGGTAGGTTATTGGAAATATCTGCTTCTGTGTCGGCAAAATTCTGACCTAAAATACTATTTTACACCACGGGGTGTCTTTGATTTACTACTGTATAAGATGCGTTTTTCTTTTGAAAACACGAGGTTTCAATACAAATCACCTGGCTTCCAGGCTTAAAAGACCTTTTTCCCCTAAAATTACACCCTAATATTGTAAATTATACCGGACATTCCTTGTATACAAAAAGACGTGTATATGACTTCTATAGAAGTATAATACGCCATGACCGCAACTGCTACCCATTTTACAACCCTGTTAAATTTGAAAGACGTTAAGTGTAGAGAACAGATGATATTGATAATATTCGTGTTTCATGTCACCGTCATACATTTTTTTCTCGGTACATTGTAAAATACTTATAAATTAATTAAATTTTAAATTAATGTAACACAATTTATGAAATTGTAATTTGTTTTTACACGTTAATTATTATCATTTTGTTTCAAGTTATTTTATCTATGTACTTCACAAGTGTTTATTCGTAAATAATGGTTACAAAAAAAAAAAAAAAATTTAAAAAATGCCGAAATTTAGAATAAAAATATGATTAATTAAATTTAATATGTTTTGGGTTTATTCTAAACTGAGGCTTGACAACATAAATCAAATATTTTATAAATTCAAATTTTAAAACTTAGTTATTTTATTAATTACTTTTTGAGTTATTTTTGTGAACTTAAAAAGTAATAAAAATATATTTTGTTTAATTTTTTATACTTTTCATACTCAAACTTATATTTTATTTATTTATCTATTAGAAAAATGTAATTTGATGTCATTACCAAATACTAGTAGGTACTTAATCTAACCTTCACTAGCACTAATCCGTACGATTTCGACCTCTAAATTTATCTTATATAATTACCTACAACCGATTCTAATTCAATTATCATTAGACTACTAAAAAAGGAAATACGAAATTTATGTTCATGGTCACCACTCACTAGCAATGAAGGAAGAAGTTGTCGGGTACACCAAAATGTTTACTAGCTGAACAAAAAAAAAATGTTTCCAAGTTATTTAAGAAAGAAAAAATACCATATTGAGTGTAATCGTTTACGACTGGTTTAATTTTTTTAGTGATCCTCTAGCTTTATGTGTGTTAGAAGTGATTAACTAACCTTGTTGTAATAAACCAGTTTAGTTGGCCACTGAAAGGGTAAATATGCGTCTAAGGTATCTCATTCAAATCTGATTCAAATGAAGTTAATCGTATTAAATAATGTATTACATGAGATATGAGAAATATCTTAAGGTTTTATCATAAAATAATAGATCAAAAATGTATTGTTAGTTGTTCCATAAAAACTAGTTAAATAATATTATTTGTATTTTGTGAATAATTCCTTATTTATTTGTTTTGATTACCTATTTTTGTTTTTCTAATTATGCATATCATATCATCGATATGTTATACACAGTTTGATACTTAAGAACGTCAACAGTTAACATATTTTAATATAAGCTCTATTCAATTTCTTTGTATAATTTAATATTAATTACTTTGCTGGCGTATTAACGTCCCTTTCTTTAAATAATCGCGTACTATATATAATTTTGTTATAGATTAATGACTTATAGTATGTGTTTTTACTTATTCCTAAGTACTATTAACAAAATTATAAATAAGAAGATTGTTTGTATTTTTTTTATAAATATTACGATATTTAAATTTTTAAATTTTAAGATATTACATACCCTCAACTTAAAATTATACGTCCTCTTGAGTATTATTAACTTAACCTTATTATAAATAAGGTGTACTTACTATATAGTATGACATTCTAAAGGATGATACTTTGTGATTATTTAGCTTACCTTTAAAATGTAACTGCTTGTTAATTTTTCTTATTATTTCTTAACTTTCAAAAATGATATAAATCACTAATTTTATAATTTAGAACTTGTAAATATTTAAAAAAATTATAATAATGAAAATCCGATGAATCAATTTAAGCGAGTAAACTATATGTCAATAAAGAATTATTATTCGTAACGATTTTTATTTTATAGTTTAAATTATAATATTTTAAGTTGTTTGCATTAATTACTAGTGAACATTAAAATTAAAATTATGCTAAATAATTAAAAAATACTTTGTTCTAATTTCATCAAGTTATCGACGGTATATTTTAATAATTTGATAAAGATACTTTTATGTGTTTCTTTCGCATTTCTGATTCTTAAAAAATTAAAAATAACTTGAAAGCCAACTGGTTTAATTCGGTTATTACATTTTATTATTGCACAAAGTATTACAATTTAAAATATAGTTTAAAAATAATAATAAATCTTGATAAAATTTAGAATCAGATAATCTTTAAGATCTTTGAATTAAACTCCAAGTCTTCTTTAGTTATTGGACCGGACAAAATAATTGTTATAAATCCTGGCAACTTGCTCTACTGTATAGTATATTTCAAGTAAATAAATACCCATATATTTGCATCTAAGAATCAAGAGAATCTAAGTTAGGCTAGCTCAGAATAACAATAAAGAAATAGTTACTGACGCATAGAAGTTAACATGTAGTTTTCTCTTAAACGCAATTAAACCTTAAATCTTTAAACATCTTCGAAGAAATCAACAAGGTCAATTGAGGGATTTCAAAAAACAGGCATAACTTTAACATCGATCTAGTTAATGTGGTGTATTAAATATTTTTAGACGAAAATCAATTCTAAACGAAGACACACTGTTAACTTCTTGATAAAAAATAAAATCTTACACACTTATTTAAATTACTATAATAATGACTTACAATAGTACTTAGTTATGCATTTTTTAGCTTTTTGACAAATAAAAAAAATGTTGCTCCACCTCAAACTAAGGCTAAGCCATTAAAAAAAAGTTTGTTAATAATCATAATATCTCAATAATTTAATAAATCAAATTTTTATAATTTTTTGCCTTGTATTTTATAGACTAAATATTTAAATAATATTACGATTGAACATAAACAATGTATTTTGCTCAGAGGCAAATCGTAAATGTTTAGAATCTAGATCGTAAAACTAGTAATCTAATAATATCAACAATCTTATACTAATTCCAATAAATTGATCCTTGGTTAGGTTATAAGTTTAGTGTCTTATGTATCTATTACCTAACTAAATATAAGCAGTTTCAAATAAATAACTAAAAATATAAGTATATGTTTTGACGAATGCGCACTTGTGATATTTCTAACGTTGTTTATTTAAAATTACATTGAAGGTGTATGAACTTTTTATTTAATTACCACATGATAAACTCTTACGCTTCGTGAATTTTATTTGAAAATTTAAAACTTTATACGTATTCAATCCGATTAAAAAATCTATTTTTAGAAGTTTTAATAACTGTCTAAATGATAACATATTTTTGCGTATTTTGCTTCTGTTTTTTATTGGTAATTTTAAAATCAAAATCTATAATACTTCTTAAAATAAAGTTTTCCTTTTATATTAAATAATTATAAAAGAAAAAAAATATCAAAATCCGACAATTATACTATGTATATGATATGTTTTTCTGTAAAGTGTTTTTGACTGTTGAAATTATCTAGTTCATATATATTTTCTATATGAACGCGCCTTTTAACGTAACTAGAAATCGACAGCATTTATCTCTCGATAAATTAAAGATAATAATTATAAGTTAAAATTAGAAATTCGTAAAAAAAAAAAGAAAGAGAAATGATTATTTTTGTAGTAGAAAGCTGATTTGTTTCTAAGTGACTAATTAAATCTGAGCGCGTCTTAGCTGGTGTTTGTTGTTGCAACAAAAAGGGCTATTCTTACGATTTGTCGTCTTTTTTTATCGAGTTAAGGGCCGCTGCCGCCAGGTAGCTCCTTCAGGACTGTATTGATTACCGACTAACCAAGGCAATTAACTGTCGGCTGTGGCGGAAAGCCTCCATGAGTGACGTCACAGTATATTAAAGGCATCCCACCCACCCCAGGGACGCTTCGGCAG